TTAGGAGAGTGGAGGGACAGCATAGGAGGGGAAGACCCTCTATGAGGTGGATTGATTCAGTGACTGGGGTAATCGGGATGGGAGTGTCAGAGACGGTGCGATTGGCACAGGATAGAGCAGAGTTTAGGGCTGTTGTACATAGGGTCGCTATGAGTCGCAAGCGACACGACAGCATATAATAAGAAATACATATATATATATTATGTTAAGCTACTGATATTAGTGAATTATGTCTGCCATAGAGTTGATTCCAACTCTTTGCAGCCCTCCACTGGATTTTTGAGTTTTTAAATACAGAAAGAGACTCTCCATCTTTCTCTCAGAGTGACTGGTGGATTCAAACCATTGACCTTTTGGTTAGCTGTGCACCATGTAACGTGCTGTGTGCTACCAGAGCTCCTCGGGTTTATTTTGTCTTATGTCAAACATTAAACACCCTGACCCACTGTTTAACCCCCTGTTTTGTAAGTTCTGTTTGCACCATTCTTGTCTATTGACTAGCTTTGGGAATTAGTTCTGAATATAAGCCATTATCTGTCATTGGTGCTCTCGTGACATAATCTGGAGGGAGGTGTGCATGCTGTGAACCCAAAGGAAGGACTTCCCTTGGTTTGAACGTACCACTAGTACTGAGAGAGAAAGATGGAAATCTCTCATGCAATTTATAGCCTCGGAAACTGAATGGAGGGTCCGTTAGGGTCTGTTCCAACTCGATGCAGTAAGCGAGTGATGGGTCACTAGAAAAAAATTTAGTTGCTCTAGAAAAAGATGATTTCATTTACTTTACGTGAGGATGGTGGAGAGGCAACGAATCCTGGTGTTTGAAGACACTGATAAGACAGCGGATGGAGAGTAAAGTAGAGAAGGGGGAAGTGATTAAATCCAGGACACAATCAGAATAAAAGACTAAGTAAGATAGAGAAGGGTTCAAGGTTGTTGGGAAAACATGAGATTTCTCAGTTCAGATAGGAAGAAACACTTAAGTGCTGACAAGGCCTACAGTGAAGCTAGGGTTGTTGTGTGCCACCGAGTGGGAACCAACCCAGCTGACCCTCTTATGGGTGTTCAGAGGCAGTTAATTGCAGGAGATTGCCCTTCCTTCTCCTGTGGAGCAGCTGGTGGCCTTGAACTAAGTGCTTTTGGGATTGCAGTGCAGTTTCTTGCCACTAGGCCACAAGAGCTCCTATAAAGAATGGGTAGTGGAAGTAAAGTGAGGTCGTTATCTATGGACTTTAGGTGCCACTGAGTTGAATACAACTGTGAAGAGCAGATCTGAACCCTGTCTTGTCTTATCTTGTATCCTCCTCACAGTCTTCTTACACACTCGAGCCCAATGCCGCAGTCACTGTGTCAATCCACCTGGTTGAGGTCTTCCTCTCCTTCGCCGTCCCCCCACTTTCCCAAGCATGATGACTCTCTCCAAGGAATAGCCTCTCCTAACAACATGATTTTTGTGGTTCAACTAGAGAGTCAGGAACAATGTCCCTGGTACAGGCCAGTGAAGACAACTATAATGGCAGCAGGATTTAGGGCAAAGTGGAGAGCTGTTGTGTCACATATCAAAATTTTCAGCAAATGCAGGAGAACAATGATAGTAATAGAACAATAGGACCAGATGGAGGAACCATGAGGAGAGTGTTCTGAAAGGAATAAAAATGAGCTAAGAGGAATGCCGGAGCCCTAAGGTCCATGGAGCAGGGGAGATATAATAGCATAGCATTCTCTTGAAAAGGCTCAGAGGAGGCAGGTCCTTAGGGCAAGACAAATTATTGATGAAGTATTGTGTTGTTTTTACTTTTTTTACAGATGCTATTGGTGTTGTATCTAAGGAATACTTCACCTAACCCAGGTTCACAAAGACTTTGCTATGTGTTCTTCTAGAAGTTGTTTTCTAGGTTTAGGTCTTAGATTTAGATTTATGAACCACTGTGAGCTAATTTTTGCGTATGATTTTAGGCAAGGACCTATGTTTATTTTTTCGATCTATATATTCAACTGTTCTAGCACCATTTATTGAGAAGCCCTTCCTTTCCTCTGCTCAATTATCTTGCCACTGTGGTAAAAAAAATTTTTTTAAACTGCCATAATCGTAAAAAATTGTCTAAAACTCTCCAAGAATATTCAGTTATTATTTGGTTGTTGGTTTAGTTCCCCCCACCCCCATCCATGGGGTATTCAGTACTCTTCTCCAACGCCACAATTCAAAGGCATCAATTTCTTTCATCCTTATTCATTGTCCAGCTCTTAGATTCATAGCAAGTGATTGGAAAGACCAGAGCCTGACTCAGGCACACCTTAGTCACCAAACTGACAACAATGCTCTTCAGGATTTGAGAGGTCTCTGACAGCAGACTTGCCCAAAGCACTTCCTGATCTTCTGACTGCTGCTTTCAAGGTTGTATTACAGGCATACTATTTTGTACTATAATTTTACCAAGATAACAAATGGGCAGAGAAGATGCTGCACAGGCCTCAAGTAAGGGAGGTGCCAGAGACATGAGTGAGGTTAAGAAATTTGGTGTATTCACCAGACAGAAGCCAGAAAGACTGGGTGGTGCATACCCTTCATTGCCTACCATGCTGAAAGAGGTCAGAATAGAAGATCCTGGATGAGGACAGGGGAATAAAAGCGATCTAAAAACGATAAAAAATAAATGACCGGTTTAACTGATCTGATGGAGACTAATGGAATCCCTAAGACTATGACTTTAGGTGACCTTTTGACCCAGGAACTGTGATTCAACTTTCAACAAAGCAGTGTTGCTATGTGCAGGCCTAACAGGCCTATGAGGTGAGCAGTACCACCTGGGAGGGGCACACTCCTCAGAACAAGCAACCAGCAAGATCAAAAGGGAGCCCTCTGCCCAGGGATCAAGTTCAAAAGGCAGGAATGGGCAGGAAAGGACAATAAATGGAATGGAAAACACAGGAGGGAGTGGGAGGAGGATTTTGGGAGGGATTGCAATCAATCTCATGAACCAAAATGTGTATGAACTATTGAATGGTACACTAAACTTTCACCCAAATCACAATAATTTTTTTTTAAAAAAAGCAAGACATCTGATATGTGTAGTAAACTATGAGCCCCCTCTCTACAAATATCATACAGAGTTTGATGCATACAATATTTTACCATTTTGATGAGCTTAAAATTATCCAAACCATCCCTGAGTCAAAACTAAGGGCAAGTGAAGGTTAGGAAAAAGGTCCAGAGACATTAATTAGGAAAGCAGAAGACATTTGGTTGGGGAAATGTCATGGGAAGTGCCTGTTTTAAGGTTCAGACAGGTTTAAGATAGTAATTTTAAGCCAGGGGTGAATGGATCTGGAGACCAGATAGATCTGGGGGGCTTCATTCTGAATACTTAGTGACACATCCTACTTGCTTGGACATGCTGGTGTTGTCAAGTACCAGCAAGTCAACTACGACTCATAGTGACCCTAAGAACAATGGCTCTGAACCTTACCAAATCCTGAGCCAACATCAAGTCTCTGACACACTGACCCCAATGCCACAGTAACTATGCCAATCTAGCTCATCCAGGGTCTTCTCTTGTGCTGACCGCCTATTTTTCCAAGCGTGATCCTCTTCTCCAAAAGTGTGTGATAGTTTCAAAATCCTTGCTTCCAAGGAGCAACCTGGCTTCATCCTTTCCAGGACAGACCTGTTCTCTTGGCAGTCCATGGCATGTTCAATACTCTTCTCCAGAACCACAACTCAAAGGCATTGATTATTCTTCTGTCATCCTTAGTCACTGACCAACTCAGATGCATAGCAATTGAGAAGATCATGGCCTGAATAAGACACACATTAGTCTCTAGACTAACATCATTGT